ATGGTGGAGAAGCGCTGCCCGCTGCAGAGGGACGGCGTGTACCGTTGGTTCTCGGAGCTGCCGTCGCCGCAGCGCGTGGAGTTCCTGTGCGGCCTGCTGGACCTGTGCATCCCGCTCGAGCTGCGCTTCCTCGGCTCGTGCCTCGAGGACCTGGCCCGCAAGGACTACCACTCGCTGCGCGACTCGGAGATCAAGGCCAACAACCCGGCTGACCTGGGCAGCCTCACCAACCTGACGGACGAGGTGGTGCGCAGCAAGCTGCTCGTGTCGCTGGCGCTGCTGGGCTCGGAGCAGCGCGAGGCGGCGGGCGTGCTCTACCGCACGCTCACGCACATCGACTCCATCATCCACAACTACGGGCTGCAGCTCAACGAGGGCCGCACGGGCGATGAGTTCCTGCTGCTCTTCACCATGGCCTCCAACCACCCGGCCTTCAGCTTCCACCAGAAGCAGGTGCTGCGCCAGGAGCTCACGCAGATCCAGAGCAGCCTGAGCGGCGGCGGCGGCGGCGGCAAAAGCGCGCTGCCCACCTGCCCCGCCTGCCACAAGGTGCGTCCCCCCGCACCCCCGAGCCCCTCGTGGGCAGTCGCGGAGGTTGCGGGGCGCCGGGGCCCCGGGGAGGCCTACCCGGTCAGACTTCGCCGCCGGTGTGTGCCTTTCTTTCACGCCTGTGGCCGCAAGCGCGATGAGGCCTTTGTCCCTTAATCGGGCCCTTGGGCGTCAGATCAGTTACGCTTGGTGTCGTCCCGATTTCTCCAAATCCGGCGTTTCTTAGCAGGAAGGGAAGCCTTGCTGGCGAGGTGGAGATGGGAGCCCTCGCGGACGGCGCGGGGGCTGTGCGGCGTCGCCCACGGCCTGCGTCTCCCCTTGGTGGGGCGGGTGCCGCCGCGGGGCAGGTGCGGAGCCTGGCTCCCGTGACAGGCACAGAAATACGTCTGCAGCCTCGGACGCAGGCGGGACGCCTGCCTTTGTGGGAGCAGATCCGGGGTCGGCCGGGAGGCGCAGGGTGTCGGTCTCCAAACTAAACAGGAAGGGCCTTGTGGTCATCCACTTGGAAATGTGAACTTTTGTCTAAATGTTTCAAAACTATGTAAACACCACATGTTCGGGGCTCAAACTCGTTTTTCACAGCCCCGTGGGACCCAGTGCCAAAATGGTGCTCCGAGGAAAAGGGTTTTTCTTTGACCCAGTGTGGCGTGTGTTCAGATGACACTGGGACCCTTGGGGAAGAGACTGCAGTCAGGACCATAGTGCTGCGTGCCTTTTCCCGTGTCTGAGCTGTTTTCAGGGAACACTGGGTCCTCTCTGGTTTGCTGCTGGTGGTTTTCAAGCTGTCTCTCAACTCTGGGTTGTGGCTTTTCTTCTTTAATGTTTTTCTCTAAGATGTGGTTGTGGTACTTCCACGGGTTTTAATCTGTGTCTTGTCTTTTTTTGGTGATGTGGAGCTCCGAGACTGGTTTTCTTTTTACATGTGTGTTCAGCTGCCGCTGTAAGTCTCATGTTGTGCACCGGACAGAAAAAGAGTATTCCAGCTATAACAAAGGGAAAGCCGTGTCCTAGCCAGTGTGGTTGTCTGTGGGGGACTCAGTCGGCTTTGGGGTGTCAGTGCCACATCACCTGTTCATGGGATCTCAGTCCCTGATGGTTAGTTTCATGTGCTGCTAGCCTTCTGTTTAGATGCCGTGCGCTAACGTGTGGGGTTCTTCCTCCGCTCCTGTTCAGCTCTCGAGGGCAGCTCTTGTGTGTACGGACTCACCCCTTTATAAAAGGGGAAGATGGCGATGATTATTTTGGTGGGGCAGGAGCTAGCTCTCGAACCAAAATACGCTTCAGAAGAGAGCCTTTCTGTCAAGTGAGAAATCCCTCTGATGCCGCAAAGGGCCAGTCTCCGCCTCACCCCTGCCCACACACTCGGAACTGGCCAGCTGTGTGACCTTGGCCAGAATCCTGCCTCCTCTTGGTGTTTTCCTGTGAAGTAGATGGCAGGTTACCTCCTGGGCTTGTGGGAGGGCTACATGAGGTCACGCGTGCTGTAGCCAGCAGATGTGCAGGGACTGCTCCCTTCTCTGCCAGGTCCATCCTCTCTGGGCTTTTATGGAGGAGTGCTGACTTCGGCAAGGCACATTGTTACAGAGTGAAATATTTATGTCTCAGAGGGTTCCTGTTTTCTAAAATTGATTTTTGAGTAGTTGCTTGGAGTTGACAATTTTTTCTGTTTATCCGTGGGAAATTGGAGAATTCTGCCTGACCCTTAATAATGACGTTATGGTGAGTAACCTTAGGGCTATTGCTTCCATATTTAAGAGCAACCGTGATGTCTAGTTTTCCCCACGTTCCCTCTGTCACTGCTAAACTAATTTCAGTCTCATTCATGTAACTTTCTGTTACTGTTAAGGCCTGATGCACCCTTTGCTGCTTTTGGAGGCGGTCCCTCCCGTGAGTGTTTTCCCTTCTTAGGGTCTCTGGATCTAATGTTTACTGTCTTCTTGGGAAAACAGCCCCATTAAAGCTCTGCTTGCATTTCTTTTGTAAGCTGTTTTTATTCCGTTTTGAACTCTTTGAGCTTAGAGGCTTTGTGTTTATCCTTTAGGGATAAAGACAAGGGTTTGATTTTTTTCTTTGTTTAAAGTGACAGTTCTTACAACGATATTTTCTGATACAGTCATGATTTGCAATTGCATCTTCAAACCCTCACTGTGTTATTTGATAATCCTTCCCACTCAGAGGACGAGCAGAAGGTGTTTAAGAGTGTGAATGAGGTAAAATAGACATTTTCACGTCCGAAAAGGAAAGCAGTTGGCACGGCAAAGCTGATGATGATAGACCGCGGTAGTGTGGCCGCGCTCAGTAGCTGACAGGTGCCGTAGGTACGCTGCTCTTCGGGGTTCCGTGTGAGCTACTGATAAAGGTGCCGGGGACCCTCACTCTCTTCACAGTTAAGTAAAAAGCCGTAATTTTGGAAGAAGTTTAACTTTACCCTTTGCAGTCTCTTCTTTATGTAAACGGTAATGTGTTATAGGTATATGCTTGGTTTTTAAAGTTTTTGAGATTTAATTTTTTAAAAAATCGTAAAATTAACCCTTTCAAAGTGTACACTTAAGTAGTTTTTAACATACTGACAGAGTTGTGTAACCATTACCACTGTCTCCTTCCAGAACATTTGCATCACCCCCCAAAGAAACCCCATGCCTGTTTGTGGTCCCTCCCCATTCCCTCTTCCCAGCCCCTGACAGCCAGTTGTCTGTGTTGTGCGTTTGCTTGTCCTGGACATTTCATGGAAGCGGAATCGTACGGTGTGTGGCCTTCCGTGTCTGGCCTCTCTCACTCAGCGTCATCTTTTCACAGTTTATTCCTGTGGTAGTATGTGTCAGTGCTTCTCTGCTTTTTTTAGGGCTGACTGATATTCACTGCGTGGATAGACCCTGTTTTGTTTATCTCCTCGTCTGTGGATGGACACTTGGGTTGTTGCATGTGCTTATTTTTAGACTTTTTTTTCCTCGTGGTTACCAGGCTCTTGTTTTAATCTCTTACACCTAACACTTAACCAATCGTCTTTGGAGCACCGTCCACGTGTGGCTGTCTGAGGGACCTCCCAGTGGTGATGAGAGCCCGCCTGGGGGATGCGGGGTGCTGTGCGTGGGGCCGCTTTCCAGAGCCGTGGCTGAGGGTGGCAGAGAACGCGCTGCTCTGACAGTCGTGGCCGGGTGCTGTGGGCTCCGTGTCGTGGTAAGGAGCCGGGTGGCAGTGGCAGCTCTGGCCGGGCAGGGTAGCGGGAAGCTGCCCCCACCCTGGCATTTCAGAATCCTCATGACGAGGATCACAACAGAACAACTTCATGAGGTTGACCTCAGTGGGTGCTGGCTGTGGGAGCGCGGCGGCAGCGTCACCCTCACCATGAGTGCTCTAGGGTAAGCACCGTGCGGCCGATGGGGGGCGGGGAGGGGCAGATTCTGTGAGTAAGCTGCTAACAAGGGCTTGCCCAGGGCAGGCAACAGCTGGCTCTGTCGCATTGTTTCCTGCGAGCTGCTGAAAATCATTGCAGTTCAAGGGTGGAAGCTTGGTAGTTTGTGCGCTGGTTGTCACGTGAGGGTTGAATGGCCCCTTCTGGTCTCTCCTTTCCCCAGAAACTCTGCCCGGTGCCACTGAGAGTGATGCGGCACCCCATGGGAAGGGACTTTGTCCAGGGCTGCTGTCCTCATCGCTAATGGTTGCAGGAGGAGCCGTGACCTCAAGGCACAGCGGTGGCTCCACCTTTGGCACTGGGGCTCCGGGCAGCTAAGGATGGCCTGGCCCATGGACTCAGGCCTGCGGTCTGAGCTCAGTCTGGCTGCCTTTGCTTCCACTGCTTTGTTTATGATGCTGCAGGAGCTAATGTCCTAACGCATTCTGGATTCTTCGTTTTGGGCCAGCTTTTATAGGCCCACAGACTGCCCTCTTTTTATGGTGAGGTACATGATCGTTGAGACTGGGTGCTGGGATGCAGGTTTGCTTGGTGGTGGTGCAGCCCCTCGCTGCTGCTGGTGCCCCACTGGAGGGTGAGCTGCCTGCCCAGGTCCTGCCCTTCGCCCTCGTGTGGGCTGGTGCTGCTGTGTCCGACCCCACTTCCACCCCAGCTCTGGCTCCCATTGTTCTGGAGCGCAGCTGTGGAAACCGCAGGTCTCCTGGAGCTTCTCCGGAGTGCTGTGGCGGGGTTACTTAACACAGAACGTAATTACAGACAAACATCCGCGTTCGCCTTGTTTCTGCGCTGCTCGATGTTCACCAGCTTCACTTTATCCATTTTCCCCCTCAGCCCTGCGTACTTCATTTACCTTCCTTTCGGACTGAGGACATTTGGGATTGATACATTTTTTTCCCCCACAAGTCAGCATAGGCATCTTACGACCTCAGAGGCAAGCTAGCAAAAGGGACGTTTTTGTTTGTTTAGTTGGTGGCTGCCCTCCCAGAGACTGTTAGTAACAAAAAATTTCTGTTACATCTAGGGAAAAATAGTTTTTGTATAAGTGTGCTTTTTTTTTTCTTGCCTTAGATAGATTACATTTCAGAAAAAAAGATCCTTTGGTTGTTTCTTTTTAATTTTAATTTTTTTGAGAAACCACCATTTCAGACACCAGTTCTCTTTTGAGAACAGTTGCCACAAGCTCTCCAGTGAGTTTACAAATCACAGGGATTCTGATTTTGGACTCTAGCCCTGACGTGTGCAGTGCAGAGATGAATGTCCACGAGGTGGCTCCTCTCCAGGCCCCACAGAGGTTTTGTATGTGCAGAGACCTAACGTGTTATAGAGCTGCTTCCTGTCACGGTGAAAAGCCATAATCAAGAACTTCATAAAATAGGTTAATTCTTTTTTCTTTTTTTGTTAGTACAGCCAGAATTTATTCAGTCACTCTTACACTGAATGGATGGGCATAAAATAGGTTCATTCTTATGCAGTTTGTTTTGTTCTGAGTTACAAGGCCTGAGGTTTCAGAGTGAAGACAAAGGCAAGACTGAATATGTTTCCCATAATTGATACTCTAGCAGCTACTTGTAATCTGTGATCAGGGCGT